AGCATACAGCTTGATGAGTCTTTATAAATGTACAGACCTGGGATATTTCCAGCTCCCAGCAGGCTCTCTTACCTTTCCTCAGCCAACTACCCATTAAAAGTCATCATTCTTCTGACCTCTGTCACTATAGATTAGTTTTGCTTGTTCCTGAATTTCATATAAATGAAATCTTATTCTTTTGCATTTGAATTATTTTCGTCAACATGAACTCGTGGGATTGATTTATGCTGTTGTGTGAAGCTGTAATCCATGGTTCTGCCTTGCTGTGCGGTATTTGGGTATATGATACAGTAATGATTCATTCACCGATTCTACTGTGGATGGACTTGGTGTCTCCAGTTTAGAGCTGTTTCATGATGACTCAGCGGTTTTACTTGGCACTGATCCTAGGAGTTGCTGCGGTATATGGAACCAATGGTGCAAGCACATTGTTTCAGTTGTGTCTACTCTTTCTTGGATCTTCCATCCTTGTTTTCTTTGTGTCTCTTTAGAACAAGCCTGGAGGTTCTACTGGGAACCTGATAGTTACTTAAATTTTATTATAAAAACAAGTCAAATATGCTCTGTGCTTAAAGCAGGAAAGTGCTGATTCTCTCTTTATCTCTTTATGTATGAAAGTACCTGAGGGTTGTAATACTCTTTTCTTTAGAATCAAAGCCAGCTTTCTCTAGATCATTTCTGGGAGTTTAGTTGCTAACTGTTATCAAAATTGGATACCTCCTGTTAGGGGCCAAATTTATCCCCCAACATTCATATGTGGAAGTGCTAACCCCCAGGACCTCAGAATGTGACTATATTTGGAGATAGGACCTTTAGAGAGGTGATTTAAGTTGAGATGAGGATTTTAGAGTGGTCTCTAAGCCAATCTGATTGGTATCCTTATTAAGAAGGGAAAATTTGGGGGCACCTGGGTGGCTCAGTCAGTTAAGCTCTGCCTTCAGCTCAGGTCATGATCCCAGGGTCCTGGGATCCAGTCCCACATCAGGCTCCCTGCTCAGTGGGGAGTCTGCTTCTCCCTTTACCTCTGCCGCTCCCCCTGCTTACGTTCTTTCTCTCTCTCTGAAGAATAAAAAAAAAAATCTTAAAAAAATAGAGAAGAAAAAATTTGCATATGCAGGAAAGACACTGGGCACACATGCCCAGGGGAAAGACCATGTAAAGAGACAGGAAGAGGGCAGCCATCTGCAAGCGGAGGAGAGAGGCCTCAGAGGAAAACTATCCTCTTGACATCTTGATTCTTGACTTTCAGCCTCCAGAACTGTGAGAGTGTAAATTCAGATTGTTTAAGCCACCCAGTATGTGACATCTGGTGATAGAAGTGCCAGCAAATTTACACACCTCCTAAAGTAAGTTTCCAGATGCCATAAGGTAACACTTATAAAATCATTCCACTCTTTCTGAATTTTTCATTTTTAATCAGGAGCTTAGCAATCCCTGGTGTTTTAATGCACCACAAACCAATTATTTAGTAGCAAACCCCATACAACCTGCATGTCCTTCCTCTCCTGGTTTGGCTGCCTCCTGAATAATTTGAGATTTAGTTGCAGAAATCATAGTCAAATACTTCAAATACTTTATATTTTCATACTTCATATTTTTATGTAAGAATGTCCTCTTACATAATAATCAAATTCAGAAAATTTAACACTGACATTAAGACATTAAGACCTGGCACATGGTCCACATTAAAATTTTGCCAGCTGTCCCAGTAATATCTTTTCTGGCAATCTCTCCTCTCTTTCCCACTTCTAGGACTACATGTTACATTTAGTTATCTTGTCTCTTTAGTTTTATGTATGTATGTATGTATGTATGTATGTAGGCAAGTAAGTAAGTAACGTCTACACCCGGCGTGGGGCTTGAACTCACTACCATGAGATCCAGAGTTACACGTCTTCCAGTTGAGCCAGCCAGGTGCCCCTTATGTCTCTTTAATCTCCTTTAGACTTTGTCTACCATGACACCTACACTTTTAAAGAGTACGCAGCAGGTGTTTTGTCAAAGTTCCTCAGTCTGGGCTTGTCTGATGATTAGGTTCAGGTCACGCCTCTTTAGCGTGACTGGAACTTTAGACTTGTACAGCCTGTTCACACCACAAAGCAAAGATGCAGGCAAGAATTATCACACCCTGCCATTGCTTCAAAAGCCACAAGAATCACCTGTATACTAAGAGGAACATATATTTTTCAAAGTTCTTTTATTTATTTGACACAGAGAGAGAGAGAGAGAGTGCAAGCATGCCTAAGCAGGGGGAGCAGCAGAGGGAGAGGGAGAAGCTGGCTCCCGCTGAGTAGGGAGCCCAACGTGGGACTTGATCCCAGGACCCTGAGATCATAACCTGAGCTGAAGGCAGAGGCTTAACCAACTGAGCCACCCCAGGTGCCCCTAAGAGGAACATATTTGATAAATAAATTCACTTTGAAGTATTAGTGATGAAGACTGTTCTTCTCCTGAGTCAACACACCTGCTAGGCTTCCCTGTATTTTTTTTTTTTAAGATTTGTTTATTTACTGGAAGGGGGAAGGATTGCGAGAGTAGGGGGAGGGGCAGAGGGAGAAGAGAAAATCCTAAACGGACTCTGCATGGAGGGCAGAGCCCACAGCCCAGCATTACTGTATTTTTTAAAAAAATATTTTATTTATTTATTTGAGAGAGAGAAAGAGTGAGAGAGCAAGATCAGGGGGGAGGGTCAGAGGAGTGAGAGAAGCAGACTCCCCGCTGAGCAGGGAGCCCGATGTGGGGCCCAGTCCCATGACTCTGGGATCACGATCTGAGCTGAAGGCAGAGGCTTAACCCACTGAGCCACTCAGGTGCCCCATCACTGTATTTTTAAAGAACAATTTATTAGGCAAAAGGATGCAGTTTTTTTTTTATTCATGAAAGCATGTGTTTTCAATTACAGATGTAGGCTACTTCTCATATAGGCAACCGGACGCATGGTCGACGAGGGTGGGGAATGATGCAGCCATGCCCGGACTTATTCTGAAAACACTACAGTGTTGCTGTGAAACACTATAGGTGCAGGCTGCCCTCTCTAACAGATGCAGTGAGAGAAGCCCTGAAACTGGTGAGTTTGTCTCAGTTTCCTGAGGTTTATCTATCAAACCAGCCAGGTCTTCATGGACTAGGTTTCAGAACAGTTGAGTTTGGGATTGCAAAATTCTCATGTTTGGGGAGAGAAAGCCCAGTCCGAGCAAGTTCATTTGGGCAGCTTGTGGCCCTGTGAGCACATGCTGGAATAGAGGGGGTCCAGAAAGGGAGGTGAGAGTCCAACACAAACCTTTTCCCTGTCTTCAAGTTTGCCCAAGGTTGGCCCTTTTCTTTCTTTTTTCCTTCCTTCCTTTCTTCCTTCCTCCCTCCCTCCCTCTCTCCCTTTCTTTCTTTTTTAAAGATTTTATTCATTTGAGAGAGTGAGAGCGAGCACATGTGCACACGAGTGGGAGGAGGGGCAGAGGGTGAGGGAAAGAATCTTAGGCAGACTCCATGCCGAGTGTGGAGCCTGACCTGGGGCTCGATCCCACAACCCTGAGAGCATGACCTGAGCCAAAATCGAGTTAGATGCTTAACCGACTGAGCTACCCAGGTGTCGCTGTGTTGGCCCTTTTCTGGTTATGCCCCTCTAGTCAGAAAGAAAGCAAAAGAGAGAGCAAATATATTACAAAACACAGAGTTTCTTAGCGAAGATTTCAAATATAGGTTTTATTTAAGCCCGTAATTTTGAAGCAAATATCTGTTATAAGAAAATTGGCTATGAAGTAAATGAAGGAAATTATTTTTTTTCCTTTTTATCTTTTCATATGACAGAACAGCGTGGTGGTTTTCTTGGTCTCTCCATTTCCCAGGCAACACTCCCAGCGTCCTCAGGTCTTTATGTTCCTTTTTTCCCTCTGTCGAAACAGTGGCAGCAGCAGCAACTTTTGCACATAGTTCTTGGGAGGAACAGGTGTAAACCACTGACCTCACATGCAAAAGCCAAGTTTCCATGTTCCAGGCAAGGTGAGTGGCACAATCAGGAGGCAGTGTTTTATGGAATGGCTGGAGCGATACCCAGTGAAGGCAGTCAGCGGGACTTACTTCTCTGGCACTCTCAGGTTCCTAGAGTTGAGTGAACTTAATGTCCGTGAAGCTCTAGAGTCACCAGAATATCCACGTAAACTTTTACTCAGACGGTTGGGCCTAGATCCATGTCGAAAATTTTAGGGGAAATATACAATTTAAGCTAGTATCCGGACAAGGTAATGTGAGAAACAGTGAGAGAGGAGGGGGTTGCTTAAACAGTCAGCATTAGCTATTACAGCTAAAAATGGTTTTTTAAGTTAGGTAGTTTAGTTTATGATATCTTCAAGGTATTATCTTAGACCCCCTGTAATTTATTTTGTTTTAATTTTTATAATTCTTTTGTTGTTGTTGTTGATAGGAAACTGAGTGGATCTTGAAAGTTCTCACAAGAAAAAAAATTGTTACTGTGTACGGTAATGGTTGCTAACAGGACTTACGGTGGTGATTATTTTGCAATATATACAAATATGGAATCATCACATTGCATGTCTAAAACTAATATGAATGTTATGTCAATTACACCTCAATAAAAAAATAAATGAATAACCCCTATCTACACCACTGCCAAACAGAGAATAAAATAAAACTCTCAGTTTTCTGCAATTTGCTTTAACGTTCACTTTGTAAATACACCCTGCTCTGTAAATTTTCCAGTGAGTAGAAAAGGTGTCATTAATGTTTTCATTGGTTTATATCAGTTTGTTTATTTAATTATTTATTTAAAATATTTTATTTATTTATTTGACAGAGATCAGAAGTAGGCAGAGAAGCAGGCAGAGAGAGAGGAGGAAGCAGGCTCCCTGGCGAGCAGAGAGCCCAATGTGGGGCTGGATCCCAGGACCCTGGGATCATGATCTGAGCTGAAGGCAGAGGCTTTAACCCACTTAGTCACCCAGGAACCCCTCAGTTTATTTAAATGTTTTTCACTTTGATTGAGAAGAGAGAGCTGATTCTTCTGTCACCTCAGTATGTATAGGAATTCCCAGAACCACCTGTTGTAGGATTTTATTTGCATCAATATCCTGTGATCTTAGCAGTCGGGGATAAAGTAAAGTAATGCAGTTACTGCTCCCATTAGCAAACCTCAATAACCTATAAACCAGTATCTTCCCTGCTGACAAGAAGAACAATTTCTAGTCTGTGGTGTTTAAGATACTTCAAGTCCATTTGGTTTCGTTTGGAAGAAGAAAGCAGAAATCGGTTTAGAGTCTTCTCTGCGCCAGTGGCTTCTTTTGCTTCCGCGTATTTGGGACTTCTCTTTTCCATCTGCTTTCCTCAGATGAGCTTCCTCTCCAGAGCCTTCCCCTGGGAAAATACCTATAATGAGGAGTAAGGCGACCGTGTGGCCAAAAAAATGGACGAAACGGAAACTGGGGGTTGCACCTCCAAGGAAGGAAAGGTCTATGTGGAAACCTAATGGGGACTCTAGGTCCTTGCCATGGAAAAAAATGAAAGGGACACTTTGGTGTCCTTGTGACGGGCTGGATCCTTGTCACCGGGTTCCTCCTGGGGGGCGGAGGGGTGAGTGTGAAGACCTGGCAGTCCGTAGGGCCTCCGTTATCTTGCAAGTCTGCAGGAGGGGTGGCTCCCTCTTTCTGTCCTGTGGAGAGAAGTAGGCAAGTCAGGAAACAGGCTTGATCACAGAAGCAGGAAGGAGATACTTTAGGTGGTAGCAGGGTGGAAAGATTGGGAGAGAGAACGAGAGAAGTCTTAAAAGGTGTTTGAAAAAACTGCAAAGGTCCGACAGAATGAGTCATGAACACACCTCATGACCCAGCAGTCCCACACTGGAGAATGTATCCAAGAGAAATGAGTGCGTGCATCTCCAAAAGACTACCTCGGGAATGTTCGTAGCAGCCTCATTCATATCAGCTTAAGCTTGGAAACAGGGCAAGTGTCCACCAATAGGAGAATGGCTAACCAAGCTGTGTGTGCACGATGAAAGGAAGCCACGAGAAGGAAGAGATACTACCACAACAGCGTGGAGGCCTCCCATGGGTGTTATGTTGGACAAAAGGAGTTGGACATAAAAGTGTACATACTTATATAACTGATCTATGATTAAAAAATTTTCAAAAAGTAACTAATTTACACTTAGGATATGTGTTATTTTGTGGAAAAAGTGGAATTCTTGAGATTGATCCAGGAGGTTGTCACATGGATGTGGAGGTACACACACACACACACACACATTTACACACATGTTTACACATATAACATACATATACGTGTATATATAAAATGTGATCAGTCTGTGCCTTTAAGATTTGTCTATGTTATTGCTTGTAAATTATAACCGAATAAAGGAAGTTCAGTGGAGAAAAAGAATTAACATTAAGAAAATAAAAATAGGGGTGGCTGGGTGGCTCAGTGGATTAAGCCTCTGTCTTAAGCTCAGGTCATGATCTCAGGGTCCTGGGATCAAGCCCCGCATCGGGTTCTCTGCTCAGCGGGGAGCCTGCTTCCCCCTCTCTATTTCTGCCTGCCTCTCTGCCTACTTGTGGTCTCTGTCTGTCAAATAAATAAGTAAAATCTTAAAAAAAAAAAAAAAAGAAAAGAAAAACCGCCCCTCCCAAAAGCTGTTAATCCAAGAGGTCCGCTTCACTTCCCAGCAGCGAGGAAGGGGAACAAGCACTGAGAACCAGGATGAAATTAGTTTCTGAGAAGAAATTTGGATCAGACTCAGGTGTCCAGGTCTTCTCTACTTCTCTGTATCATCCCACTGAACTGGCTATGAAGTAGTGAGCTTCCCTTCAGAAAATCATTCCTTCCCTTTCTTGGAGGCTTACGATACAGTCCTGGAATGGGCTGAGTGTGCATGATGGAAAAAAAAAGTCCCCACAGGAGGCTGAGAGTGCTGAGTGCTGACAAAGAGCTGGATTCCCCTTACCTTTAGAACAACCTAGATCAGATTTCTTGGTCGGACAGGATATGCCTATCGCCTGCCCGTGTTCATAGCTCCTTCTGGAGATTCTGTTTTACCCACAACCCCCGGGAACCCCTACACATCCTTGGCTGAGGGACACTCAGCTCATTCATTGGCTGACCAATGACCAATCAGTTTCTCATTTGAGAATTTCAACAAAGAGACTCAGTTGGTGGAAGATGGTAGTAGAAAGTGTAGGGCAAGGATGGGAGTGTTAGGTTTTGGCCAGTTGTAAGTAGGGAAGTAGGGAAGCCAGTCTTTCCATAGAAACTATAGCATGGGAAGACCCAAAAAAAGAGAGAAGAGACTACGTGGTAACAGTTTGGTGATGAGAGTGGCCTTAGTTCTTGACTTTCCAGGGCTGATCCTTCTGAAGCCTGGCTGTGCTCAAGGTTCATGGACATAGCCGTTAGTAATCACTCCACCTCCACTTCTACTCTTTTCTTAAGCTAATTTGAATGGGCGTCTATTCCTTGAATGAAATACTGACCCTTTCTTGCATACCCACCCAGGCTACTGAGTATTGAAATCCTATGACTAAAACTAGATTAAGTTGTTTCAAACCACAGAAGATGATTAAATCCCACATCACTCATTCTTTTCTCCTACACAGTTAGAACAGTTCTGAACCTTTGTAACATGAAAACTTTCTGTAAGATGAGAATCCAGTCCCTAGTGGAGAAGCTGGCTTTGTTCTTAAGTTCCATCTTGACATTTTTGTTATCAGATCAGACTTAGCTAAGCCCGAGCTCTGCTACTCAGTATGCTTGTATTCCAACTGTTAAAAACAATCAACCACCTGCCTCTTGTACTCATCTCATTTCTTAAATCGGAGACTACTCAGGAAATCCTCCTGCTGACTGTGGGGTATTACAGCCAGCTAGGTAGCTTTTCTCTAATTCTGGGAGATCCAGCAGTGTTCAGGGCTCTTTTCTGGGTATTTCCAAGGTTTCCGGATCAAGATACAAGCTTGTCCCAGTAACCAACCCAAGAATGAGGCAGGACCACATAAAACTACATTCTTCCGGCAAACTAGATACATGATGACTACTTCAGGTCACTGGTTGGCCGGCACAAGTGTTCTGAAATGTGGGAACCACAGGGATTGATTTGGGAAACTGTCCCAGGGTAAGGCCACACATCTGAGTGAGGAGGTTGATGCCATTCATGGTCTCCAGCTCTGGCTGAGTTGACACTGACACTGCTCATCCATTCTTTTGTTTCTCCTTGTTCTACTCCATTCCCATTGTCTTCTAAACCGTTGACATTCTTCTCAAAGCCTCTTCAAAATTCTCATTCTTCTTCATTCCTTTGAAGAATTCTCTTCAAAAGTCTCTCTGTCTTTCTAAGTAGACTACCTCGCTTCGTATTTCAGAAGGGAAACGTCAGCGATCTGCCATGAACTTCTTTGGTTCCTATTTCTCTCACTTCAGAGAGAAGTCTACATAGTTCCAGCTCAATTCCTACCCCTCCCCTCATATTTAATCTACTAGAATAGAACTGTGTTTTTTCTACTCCACAAAAGCTATTTTGGCAAAAGCATCATTGGTCCCAAGCTTTTACCATGTTGGTTCCAGAGGTCTAGGCACCATTTCCTGTCCTTTTTGCCCGGCTCACTCTTAAGCAGAGTTCATGCCTCATTCCCTCGGGGAGGCCTTTCCTACCCTGAGGCTGGCTTAAGGCCCTTGGCAGTATATTTCCACACCACCTTGGGGGTCCACTTTTGGAATACTCATCAGCCAGGTTATGACTATTCAGTGGTTATATTCTTCGTCCCCTGAAATACTCACATGGCCATCTTGTAGACCAGTGTCTCCTCACCCCTCGCTCAGGGCCTGCAGTGGAATGGAACTGATTGAGAGAAATCTCTGTTCTGTAATTGCAAAAGTCACCCTCTTTCCACCTCTCAGGGATAATGTGATCATTATAAATAAATGTTTTTTAATATGTAACATACTGACATGCCACCAAAGGCACTGCCACCAAAGGTCACACATGAGAGCCCTTCTGCGACCTTAATCAGACCAAAGTAAGCCAAATATTTCAAAGCAGATTGAAAACGCTTTGAGCAGAAGAGCATAGCGTGTAAAAGCACAGACTCTAGAACCAGGCTCCCGGCATTCTCTCATTTAGGAACCTTGACCATTGACAGGTTCCTTAACTTTTCTAAGTCTCTTTTCTTTATTTCTAAAAAGGAGAGAATACTCACTGCCTTGTTGTATTATCTGAAATAAGATATGTAAAGAGCTCAGAACATATCTGAGCCACAGTATGCATTTACTAGGTGTTTTCTACTGTTATTATTCATCTTGAACATTATGGAAAGATTCTATCAACACAAACCCCATTTTCTTGGGCCCATGTGATCATACTTTACAGATTTATTTATTTATTTATTTGACAGGCAGAGATCACAAGCAGACAGAGAGGCAGGCAGGTGGGGGGAATCAGGCTCCCTGCTGAGCAGAGAGCCCGATGTGGGGCTCGATCCCAGGACCCTGAGACCATGACCTGAGCCAAAGGCAGAGGATGAACCCACTGAACCCCCCAGGACATAGTCAAGAAGTTGGATGAAAGGCAGAGAGATGCTGAAGGCTCTCTGTAGGTTTTTGTGAAGCTCAGGATTTAATTCCAGTCCCAGAAAATGTTCAATAATAGCTTACATTTGAATTTAGAGCATAATAAAACATCAAGCCAAAATATTGCCTGAAGTTTGGATATCAACTTTAAGTGGATTTATTTTAGTCTAGACATGAAATGCATAGCATACCAACAACTATGACTTTCTTTTTTTTAAAGGATGAGAAGTTCCTTTTCTTCAAAACAAAAAACAAACACACAATTACCTGCAGTCTGTGGTTATTTGGGCAGACAACAGCCGGTTTGTGATGAGCAGTACTGATTTTTAAGAGAGGTAAGCTTTATGCATGGAGTTCAAGTGCGCCGTTCTTCCTTTACGCGGCTCGTGGAATCGTGGGCGCTTCCGGAGGTGAGCCAGAAAGGAACACGGGTCCTGTGATGAGTTCTCGCACAATAACGGGCAACTGAGTTTATTTTGCAGACCCCAGCATGACCGGCTATTTTGGCAAATCCCTAATTTTACAGAGAAAGAGCTTGGAGGCCAGCAAGTGTCACCAAGGCCTGTTTCCATTCCGTGCTCCCATCTAGCCCCTGGGTCCTCGAGCCACCAGCTGGAGCCCAGGCTGCCCGGACAGAGCAAAGCTGCACTGGATTTCCAAGCTGTCTGAGGGACGGCGGCGAAGCGTGAGCCAAATGCAGAAGTCAAATCTGACCATTTAATTAGTGGTTTTTAGATGTGAATGAACCTGCAATCTCATTATAACTCGTTCAGTCGCATATTTACAATGGTTCTCTGAAGACGCTTCACTTCTGGAAAGATGTCGGGTGGCTAGTTCTGGTTTACAACGCCTTAGTTCTCTATCTATCTATCTGTCATTTTAAAAAGATTTTTATTTATTTATTTATTTGACAGAGAGACACAGAGAGAGAGAGGGAACACAAGCAGGAGGACTGGGAGAGGGAGAAGCAGGCTCCCCACTGAGCAGAGAGCCCGATGCAGGACTCGATCACCAGGACCCTGGGATCATGACCTGAGCCAAAGGCAGGTGCTTAACAACTGAGCCACCCAGGTGCCCCTACAATACCTCATTTAGATTATCCCCTTCCACAGGTGAGGCTTGGGAGTCTGGTCTTGGGAACGGGGCTGGTGTTGTTTGTAACATCTCTTCCCCCTCTGATCAAGAGGGTTCGGGCAGAGGTTGGGCAAGGTGACCTCTGGTGGTCATCCCCAGCCATGAGGTCTCTGTCCCTCTCCACTCTATGTGAGCCTTGGGAGGGGAGCAAAGAATGTGTTGGGGGATGAGTAGGGTTTGGCCGAGCCCCTGCAGAGCCCGCAGGGACTTGGTTTGATCCTGGGTCTCGTCTCCCTGAACAGTATCTGGTTCTGGAACTAAGGTGAACTGTGAAATAACTAGTTGCGATTAATTAAATCTATTAACAAAGAGAGAATAAACAGCCTCAAAATTACTGTGCTGTTGGGGATAGTGAGAGGTGGACATTGCTGTAAGGGCGGAAATTGTTAGCTCTACGACAGTAATGACTGGTACAGTGTTAGAAGCTGGAAGAGCTTTTCTCGCACAATAGCTCATTCGGTCTTCATAAACCCCATCATCACTACTCTTTCTGTCACTTTCTGTCACTACCACTTCTGTCACTGGTACCAGAAAGGTTAAGTACATCTAACATCATGCAGTTAGAGGGCTGAGAGTAGGACCAAGGTCTTCAGATGATAAATTTTAGCTTTTTTCTCCTTTATGCGCACAAGCTGGTGGAAGCTGACAAAATCACTTGCAATTGATGGATATCTATAGTCATGGAACCAAATCTTGTCTTTTCACAGAACTTATTAATTAGGGACCCATAGGAGAATAAACACAAAACCCTTACCTGCCGCCACAGTTCGCGCCGCCCAGCAGAGCAACAGCCAGTAGGAGAAGCGGAGCCTGTGAGCCATGGTAGTCCACCCTGAGCAGTTGTGGCCTTGAAGCCAACGTTGCTTTAAAGGGGACTGGGTGAGTCACACAGCCAGATTCAGGTAATTTGCATTTGCATAATGGACCACAGGGATCAGGGCCTGCGGTGTGAGGGTAAGAAATCAGCAAGGAAATTCCAGACAGCATTTGTCAACCAGAAGCTTCTTGTCAGGACAGTCAAACATCATTCCTCTGTCCTGAGGGTCAGATTGTGGACAACCGCGCCCTCACTATCCTTTAAATCCCCTCAAATCTTCTCTCCTGTTAACGTCTTCTCTTTACTTGCCCTATGGGTCTCCCTCTATGAGAGAAAGAATCTCTCTAGGAAGTACTCAACAGTGTTTCTCTCTGTGTGGTTTACTTAAAAAAAAAAAAGCCGAACAGGATGGGGAAGACGTTATCCAAAGGCTTCCTGACCCGGGTAGTTTGAAGACGCTGTCCACAGGCCTCGGATCAGAGTCTACAACTTTTTCTTCTTGTTGCTTTTGTGGAGGAACCAAGGGCAGCAGCATCAGAAAGCTATGTTGTTGAGTAGCTGTCATGGTCACGGTCTACATGAACAGGAATAGTTTGGGAGAGTAACGGAGCGAGTTGTCCTTCTGGGGCTCCTTCTGATTCATCATATGGCCCATAGGATGGACGTGATACACCTGTGCCTGGTTTGCTTCTTGAGAGAAGAACTCTGTCTAGAGGGAAGGGGAGGGGGTGGCCACGGTTGAGTCAGAGCATGGATCTAGGAGTTGGAAACACTGGTTCCAATTCTGATGCCTTATCTTCCCCTGTGGGTGACCAAGAGTGAGTCCCTGAGATGAGTCCCTGAGACGTGAAGGTTCCTCATCTGTAAAATGGGTATTTCCTGCAGAGGATTGTTGTGCTGAATAAAAGAAGTAATTGACCTTCAGCTCCTACCACAGTGCCTGGCCCATGGAAGGGAGAGGTGATGGTTGTAATAAACTTACAGTGACTCCAGTTCTTAATTCGTTCTCTGAGGAGGTTATACTTGTCCAGTCGTTCAGTGTCTCAAAAGGCCTCACGTTGAACAGAACGTTTTCCTGGGCATTGCCGGAAAAGCAAAACAGAACCCAGTCCCCGGCTTCGAAGGGCTAACGCTCTAACGGGGGAAGACTATGAGAACCGAGGACCAAAACGAGAAAGGAAGCAAAGAGTCACAAACTAGAAAGTGGCAAATCCCACAGGCCTGATGATGATCCCAGGCAAAATTCTAGGATGGAAGGACTGTTCTTCGGCAGTTTGGAAAGGAAGCAGGGGTCATGGAGAACGAGCTCAGCTCCGTAGGCCAAGGCACTCGTTACCCACTGACGGGGTAGCTCTCTGCTGGCCACGTGTCATGAGCCAGACACCGGCCTCGGTGCCACGGCTCGAAGATGGGGTTCTGCTCTCCTGAAGCTTATGGCCTGGCGGGGACATCAAATATTAACTAGGGAATAACAGTAAAGGGCTTCGAGGGTTAAGGGAGAGGAAGTAGAGCAGATGGAGGAGATGAAGCAGAGAAATGTCTATAATTTTCCATCAGTGGGTGAGTATTACATACACCGACGAGGGACAGAAGCAGAAAGATGTTCATCTTTGGCCCAGAAGGCTGACCTACAGCCTGCATCGTTCTGATAAGGATCAAATATGTGCTGACTGTTACATTCTTAAAGGGTCTCATGACGGCTAGTACGTCCCACCAATAGTTTCCACCCAGCTGAACAATAAGCTCCAGAGAAATCTTGCGGAAGTAGTTTCAGGAGTAGAAACTCGAAGAAGACATCTATGATCTAATACTCCCTGCATGTCCTCTCGCCCTTGAGCATGAAGCATGTAACCACCAGCTTCACACAGCAGAAGTATACCTCTTCCTGCCAACGGGGCCTGTCTCTGTGCTATAATAAAACCACTTTTTGCACCAGAAACTTCTCAAGAAATCTTTCTTGACCATTTGCTGGTAGTCCCACGTCATACACTACTTTGGACCCTGCGTTGGAAACACATTGCCTAGCCAACCAAATTAGGTCCATGTAATCTCCTCGCCTACTGCCCAGTGTTCCATTTTATGGATTTATTGTAAATTATAATTAAACTTTTATTTATTTTTGAAAAAATATTTATTTCAGAGAGAGAGTCAGAGTGAGAGAGCATGAGCAGGGGTTGGGGGGCTGAGGGAGAGGGAGAAGCAGGCTCCCCACTGATCAGGGAGCTTGACCCAGGGCTCGATCCCAGGACCCTGGGACCCTGACCTGAGCCCAAGGCAGACATTTAACTGACTGAGCCACCCAGGCGCCCCTGATCAAACTTTTAGTTGTTGGAGATTTGTGTTATTTCTTCGGATCCTCTTTCTTTTCTGTATTGGATATCTGGTGAGCTTTCAATTTAAATGTTCATGAAAATAAATAACAAAAACAAAATGGTGTGATTTTTTCTCCCTGTTTGGATCTATTGTCCTGAAATTTTTAAAGTAATGAAGCTTTAAAAGGAACAATTTTTTTCCAAGTATATAACAAACAAAACCCTTGTTCTGTTGATAATATAAAAAGAAATGAGAGAGAAGTGGTGTGAGAGAAGATGCCGACGGGTAAATTAGTCCATCACGTGATCAACGAGAGTCTCAGGTAGTGCCCTACACTCTAGATTTCTCTTTGGATGAGTTTCCTGCCCATCAGGAGCACGCTGTGGAGAGGAGGACCTAGGCTCTTGACTCTGCCATCTTCTCTTTGAGAAAATATTAATTTTGAATGCGTGGCATCTAACCACCAGACTCCAAATTTGTTCTATTACGTTTCTGGGAGACTTAAAAGATACTCCTGCCCATGAGGCTAAACTCCCCCACCAGGTCTGCCCTGGGGCTGGCCGAGCAGATTCCTTTGAACGTGTAAACACTTGTGAAGAGGCAACAGGCACAGAAGGGCGTGGGGTGTGCTAGAACCTGTGGTAAATAAGACTAAAAACCAAACACACTCAAGATGTACAAAGTGAAAATACTGTGAAAAGGTAATTAACCTGCTAGGGAAGCCGCACACGATGATGTGGATACGGAAACCGAAGACCAGTTCAAAGCACACGGAAGAGGTGGGCATGACGTGTCCTTAGAGCCTCGATGTCGGGCGGGGCTGTCACTTCCTTTCCATCTCCAAGGCTTGATTTCACATGGTTACCGTCTCAGAGTTTTGTGATAGCGATTGTCTTTTCAATCTCTCACCCCAAGATCAAGAGAATGTTCTTTATGTGAAGATCCGATGATATCACTCTCTTTCTAAAGACTTTTTCTTTTTAAGATTTTATTTGACAGAGACAAGGGGAGAAGAGGAACACAAGCAAGCGGAGTGGGAGAGGGAGAAGCAAGCCTCCTCTGAGCAGAGAACCTGATGCCGGGCTCCATCCCAGGACCCTGGAATCATGACCTGGGCCAAAGGTAGATGATGAACGACTGAGCCACACAGGTGCCCAGACACTACTCTCTTTCTAAAAATCCTCTAATGATACTCTGTTGCCAAAAAACAAAATCCAAATTCCTTAGGTGAATATCCGAAATTGTATTATTGTTTTGTTTTTTTTTAATCAATGGCTTTACTCTATCTCCCATCAATCTCTAACTTAGATCCCAACTACAACTGTATCTTCTGCTTCTAATTCTCCACCTTGTCTTGCTCTTCCAAGGAATGAATGAAGATAGGTCATTGGTTCTCAGCTGGAGGGGATTTTGCTCCCTCTTCTCACAGAGGACATTTGGCAATATTTAGAGACATTTTTTGTTGTCACGGTCCCCCACGACAAAGTCATCTCTGGCCCCAAGTGCCAGGTGCTGCTGTTAAAAAAAAATTAATGTATAGGGTAACGTCATCCGAAGGCAGTTGGTCATTTTTTTGAGCCTTTAGAAAATTGCTACGAAGGAGAACCAAGTTTCAGTTTAAAGAGAACACCACAATGGAAACAGATTTATTAAGAGAAAGACTTTTTGTGCACCTGGTGTGATCAGATCAGTTGTGAAGTCCGGGGTACCCTTGCAACCTGCAAAGCCAATTCTCTCCCTTGGATCAAAGTGAGTTCGAGAGGTAGGAACGAACATATTCACAAGTAGCCAGGTCACCCTCTCCGCTCAACACAAGTAAGACTGCTCTCGTCTAAAGCACAGGTAGCTGACGTGGGGTTGAAAAGTCTCACCAGTTTAATTTTCCAAACTTCCCTGAAGCCAGTGCGAAATAGAAATGCTTCCACAGAGACTGGGTCCAGCCTCCAGTCCTCTTGCTTCCAGACCAAAACTACAAGGTCAGGAGAGAAGATCCTTAAGGAGATCTCTGGTAGTGCCCAACAGCTGGTAGATCAAAAGGAAGAGAAATTTTAAAATTTCATCAAAACTCTTATTTGACAGAAAAAAATTTTTTAAAAGATTTTATTTCTTTATCTGACTGTGAGCAGAGGAAGGGGTAGGGGGAAGGGGAGAGGGAGGAGCAGACGCCCCGCTGAGCAGGGACCACCTCCTCCCCCCCCATGTGGGCCTTGATGCGGGGCTCGATCTTAGGACCCTGGAATCATGACCAGAGCTGAAGGCAGAGGCCGTAACCCACTGAGCCACCCAGGCGTCCCATCTAATTTACTTCTTTATTGGTGATGTATAGGTTACTAAGTCTTGCTATCTTATTTATTTGGTGCTATGTATTGAGTGGACCCAAGTGTTCAACAACACATCAAGTCAGTGAAACTGTGGTGAGGTTAGATTAATTTGCAAAAAGTATTTCCTTTAAAAAAGGAATTATTTCTGAAAGCTTATTTCAAATGCAGGTATTTTGGTAAAAATCTTTTCAGTCATATACTTTAAAAATCCTTAAATTGCCACTTTCTCATTTGGTTGAAGGCTAATCCGTGAGATTCTAATGTGCATATCTTCAGCATCAAGGGCTCCGGGTCACTGCTGTTGGCCCACCACTTGCACTCAGGTGTGTTTTTTCCCTGACGCCTGTACTAGTTTCTCCCTCCACGGCAA